GCCAATCCTTTCTCCTCTTGGGACCTTGGACATGCACGCACACGTGCCCAGTGTGAGTTTAAGCCACCAGGTCCAGGCCTCGAACCATGGTCAACTTCATGGGAGTCCAGCAACATAGCCATTATGCCAACTGCTGGTCCCAATCACCATGATTTTTTTGTTGTTGTCAAGTAAAGTAAAAATTTAGGGATGCATAATTTAAATGTAGTGATAAAAAAATAACATTGAGGGGCCAGCAGTAAAAGTAATGGCTATGTCACTGGGCTCCCATGTAGTCGACTGTGGTTTGAGTCCTGGACCCTGTGACTTAAATTCACGCTGGGGGCGTATGCGTGCGTGTCCAAGATCCAGAGAGGAGAATGGAGGAGAAGGGATTGTGGCAGGGCCATCCTCACTGGGGGGTGATTTCTCACTTTCTGTCTCTCTGTCTCTATCTTTCTGGCGAACGCACATACCCTATAGCAAACACCTCTCCAAAAAAAAATAAATAAATACCATTGAAAGTGGGAACAGCAGGTAATGTGGTTAAAACACTGGATCCCACATGGCCAATTCTGCGGATTGAGTCCTGGACCCAGCAGCTTGAAAAACACTCTAGGCACATATGCGTACATACCCAAATCCTGAGAGGAGAATGAAGGAGAAGGAATTGCGATGTGGCCATTCCCCCTGGGAGGTAATTTTTCACTTTCCTTCTCATGATCTCTCTCTGGTGGGTGTACTTGTACTATAGCAAAAACTCTTAAAAGGAAAAAAAAAAAACCTACATAAAAAGAAATAAAAAAAAGAAAGAAAGAAATACCGTTGAAGATACCATTCTCTGTAATGATTAAATAAATTTCCAAATCCTGTTCATTTCCAAACCCTGTTTTATTTCAAATGATGTTTAAAGATCTAACCAGAGTCCACATTAAAGTTGACCGTGATAAAATTTGGCCTGGGATTTTGAACGTTAAGTTGTCTTCTCATTGCAGATGTTGCCCAGGTGTCGTTTAAATATTTTCAGTCAGCAGAGGAAGCGAAGCATGCCATCGAGGCTGTGCTGTCAGCCGACCCTCGCTCTGTGTATCGCCGCAAGCTGTGCCAGGATCGCCTTTTCTACTTCACTGTGGACATCGCGCACGTCACCTGCTGGTTTGGTGATGGTTTTGCAGAGGTTCTAAGGATCAAGCCAGCTTCCGAGCCTGTTCAGGTGACTGACCCTGTGGCGTCCTTGGAGTCCCTGGGCTCTTAAGGAACCTCCATTGCATCTTTAAGACAGCCTCGTGGACCTTTGGATATGACTTCTGGATTTTCTGTACAAGCTAGTGTTGCTCCTTCTTTGTAGGAAGGAGCAACACTTTGTGATCTCACTCCTTTGACCCATTTTCAGATTATTTATTTGAAAAACATGCATTTTAATAAAATTAACTGAGATAAAATATAGAGAAATCACTGTGTGCATTTTGTCAATATTGAAGAATCTTTTTTTAGAGAGAGATTTTTGCTCTAGGGTGTGTGCATTTGCCAGAGCCAGAAAGCGAGCTATCATCACCCAGGGATGATGGCCACATTGCAATCCCGTCTCTCCATTCTCCTCTTGGGATCTTGGGCACCCATGCCCATGTGCCCAGAGTGAATTTTAGGCTAGCAGGTCTGGGACTCAAACCACAGTTGACT